ATATCTTCATTTTTCTGCTGCTCATGGGATATGGCTGCTCACTCAGAACTTTAGGAACTCAGAGGAAACATTGCTTGTATCAGGTGCTAACACACCCTTCTGGTGCCCACATCCCACCCCCTGGCTCACCTGCGAGGCAGTTCTGACTTCGTGACTCCCCTGAAGCTCCCGGAAACTCAAGGGAGTTTGCATCTCCCCATCAGGAGACACCCTCCTCCCACGGAGGGAAGTCAGAGGGTAAACACTCCCGCCTCCTAGCTCCCAGCTGGGTTGCTATGGAGGGCATTTAGCACCTCTTTCAGTGGTCCTCCCCGAAGGGTGCCCTTGTTGCCAACAACTTTGATGATAAAATACCTTTTGCCTTGTCCTCCTGCCCTGTCTTTGGGGAGGTGTCTGTTCAGATCTTTTGCCCATTTTAAAAATGGGGTTGTTTTCTTATTGCTGAGTTTTAAGAGTTCCTTGTGTAATTTGGGTAACAGGCCTTCTTTATCAGATATCTTTTGCAAATATTTCCTCTTAGTCACTAGCTTGTTTTCTCATTCCCTTGATTAAAGTAATTTTATATGTATAACAGTATTGGATCCAAAAAAACTTAAGGTAATTTAAATGTATAACATGAAGTAATATTTAATAATAATCGGGGTTTATTCTATGTGATTGGTACCTAATATTAGTTAATGAATTTCTCTTAAGCTAGAAGTACTTCTATGCTATAATTTATCTTTTATTTTTTGCTACACTATAATTTAGTGTAACATTACTATAGCCTCTTTTGATTTTTAAATTATGTATAAATATAGGTCACAGAAATAAATTCAGTTTTAAGGAGTAATATATAATAAATAATAAAATTGCCTCAAACAATAAATTAAATATTAAAACCATGTTAAAGAGAATAGCACTTTCACAACTGCAACTAAATTGTTTAACAGAACGCTGGCCCCACTGGGCGAAAGATATATATAGCAACACCATCTGTATACGTTTTTTGTTTGTTTGTTTGTTTGTTTGTTTTTATTGATTTTTTACAGAGAGGAAGGGAGAGAGATAGAGAGTTAGAAACATTGATGAGAGAGAGTCATCGATCAGATGCCTCTTGCACACCCCCTACTGGGGATATGCCCGTAACCAAGGTACATGCCCTTGACCAGAATCGAACCCAGGACCTTTCAGTCCCCAAGCCGACGCTCTATCCAGTGAGCCAAACCGGTTTCGGCTGTTTTGTTTTGTTTTTTAAATATATTTTATTGATTTTTTTTTTTTTAAGAGAGGAAGGGAGAGGGATAGTTAGAACATCAGTGAGAGAGAAACACCGATCAGCTGCCTCCTGCACACTTCCTACTGGCTATGTGTCCGCAACCAAGGCACATGTCCTTGACCGGAATCGAACCTGGGGCCTTGAGTCTGCAGGCCGATGCTCTATCCATTGAGCCAAACCAGTCAGGGCTCTTTTGAAAACACGTATTGTGTTGTTCACATTTAATTTATATCGTTATATGCCACTGAGTGAGGAAAAAGTATATTTAATTGAAACAAACAATAAATATTTACTTAGAATAAAGTTCATTCACATGATTAAAAAGTGTTTGTAATAGGCCAAAACCGGTTTTTATAATAGGAAATTGTTTGTAATAGGAAATCCATTAAAACCAAAACATAATCAAGGCTGTGGGGAAAATGTTCATTAAAAAAAAAATACTGATACATTTGTACTGGGTTGCCTTAAGTTCTTAACCTATAGGGAAAACATTTTTAAACAACAAAAAATGGTGGAGAAATCACGCAATTCAGATGATTGAAGGCATCAATCTGTCATACATGTTCCAAAATGTCATACTGGCAATCTACAAAAGAATCTAGTTTAAAAAATACAGAAATTCTAGACACTCTTTTAATAGTGTAAGCACTGTATGCAACACTTCAAATCAAGCTAATAACAATTAATTCACATTCCCTTAGATTAATAACTATGAATGATATGAAATTGAGCTTTTGAATAGCACTAATAAACCTTTTCTTGTTAAAGATTCTCTTGTACATACTGGAAAAGTGTATACACACAAAAAGTATCTGATAAAAAGGAAAAAATGATTAGAATTTTACAGACCAAGGGAAAACCAAAGACACAGAGGACACTTTTGTTCTACTTCTTATTGTTCTGACAGTTTTCACCCACCCTGTTTTTACACAGAGGGAATATTATTAACAGATGTAAAACTTTCACATAGTCAGGTTTTGTGCTCTCTTTATTTTTTTTTTCATTTTGAAAAGGGAATATTCCATGTAGAATTATCTATCTACTGAAGGTATAAAATTATATATGTGTATCTCTTTTTCTAGTCCAATTTCCTTTTTTATACCCATATTACATTCATTTCCTGATTGGAATAGAGGGGGAAACACCTATTTAAACAGAAAACTTTGTGTCAAAGTAGATTTAATTGTTAACACTAATCAGTTACCTAGGGAAGAACCACAAACAAAACAAATTAATCAAACAAACAAAACTATCCACCAAAAATACAACAGGAATAGGAAAGAGTGGATATATGTCAGAAATATATGTCAATAACTTTACATTGAGATATTTTCCTTTCAAACATTATAAGCATTTGTGAATTATGGCCGATGCTCTATCCACTGAGCCAAACCACCTAGGGCTCATATACTAGTATATACTTTTATATACAGGTACATATATTACATATGACAAATGCTTATAAATTCCTCACATAGATTTAGAATTAAGCAACAAGACCCCTGGATTTCATTATTTGAGACAGTATAACTCTATAGTTTCAAAGTGGGCCTAGAAAAGTGTGCTTGTTCATTCTAAACCTAGCTCTCACCAATATGTTAGATTTTGGGCTAGTTAGCCTATGCCTTAGTCTGTTACAAATTGAACAAAAAGTAGAATTTGCCTCTGACCTGTTAAAGTAAGTGCAAAGTGCAAGGTGCAAAGTTACATGAGAAAAAGTGCTTATTTGTAAAAGCCAAGTTATGACTAACAGTGAAATTTTTATAGGTAATAAAAAAACTCTATAAGGACCACTTTTCCTAATTGTATGTAAATGTTACTAGATTATTTCTTTGTGACAGACAAGCAAACCAAGAGTCACAAGAATCTAAAAAGGATAATGACTTTGGTAGTCTGTAATGGTGAAGGTATTGATTTTATGTGCCTTAAGATCATGCTGTCTTAAAGGAGAGACACATACACATATGGTAACATGACTTATACTTTCTAAACATTCAATTTGGAAGGAATTATCCAAGTCTGTAAAAATTGTAAAACAAAATACAATTTTACAAATGATCTTTTAATAGAAAAATGCAATGCCTGGTAAAAACATAAAGAACAGAATTTTCTATTTCTCAGGAGTATGTTATATTTCTTTGTCTTTTTTGTATGTGTGATTCTGGATCTCTTTATTACATGTAGGAGTTGTATTTCTTGAGCTCCTGCAAGGAGGAAACAAATTACATATACATACACACCCACCTGCAAACATTTGTGCACACAGATTTACTCCAGATGTTTATAGCTTATACTCTACCACATTCTTTTTTGCTTGTTTGTTAATCCTCACCCAAAGGTTTTCTTCTATTGATTTTTAGAGAGTGGGAGGGGGAAAGACAAAAACATTGATTGAAGGCACATCAATTGGTTGCCCTCTGCATGCACCCAGACCAGGGCTGGGGATTGAGCCTGCAACCAAAGTACATGGCATTGACTGGAATCAAACTTGGGACCTTTCAGTTTTCGGGCCAACACTCTAACCACTGAACAAACCAGCTGGGGCAACTCTACTACATTCTTAAGGAGGACTGGTCACAAATAGGATTAGAAGGAGAGATAAAGTATAAGTTAAAATGGTTACTGATGCTGTTTTGTGTCTAGACATTAAGAGATACAAAGTAACTTTAACCAATATTATATTTTAGTAGCAGAAAAGTAAAGTACTTTTTCTACGTTTTCAAGCTATTATTTAGGAATAATCAACACATTTTCAAATAAATAATTACATATAGTTATATATAGATAATCTATATAATAAAAGTATAGTATGCAAATTGTCCCCTCAACTGGAGTTCTTCTGGGAGTTTGGCTGGGGGAGGACCAGCCGGTGGAAGGGAGGGAGGACTGAGCTGGCAGCCAACAGCCACTAGAAACCCTACCAGTGTGTGAATTTTGTGCATTGGTCCTCTAGTTATCAATAAATAAAATAGGTTAGTAGTCTACTTAGTAATATGGGTGACTTTATCAAATTCTAGCCACTCCTAGATTTGAGGCCGGTTTATTTATTTGTTAGTATAACAACTCTTGCAAATCCTTGATATTACAATCCTCTAAAGATCTAACACTAACTACTAAGTGTTTTTTTTGTTTTGTTTTTAGAGAAAATTACTGATCCCACTCATAATGAAACATGACTGATAGCAAGAATTAACAACTAAAACCGGCAAAATATAGTGAATGCCATTTTATAATTTAAAATGTAAAATCAAGTGATTATACTAAGGCCATCAATTTATAATGAAATATCAAATTCTTTGAAGTTTTACAATCAACAAGAAAGCCTAATAAAGAGTGGACCCAATATTATGACAAGATAATCTAATGATAATGAATTCTTTAAAAATATTCAACACAAAAAATCTACAATCTTTATCTACACAAAGGATACAGATATTTCATCAGTTCTACTTACGACATCCACACCTCAAATTTTTTTTTTGAACATTAAAATAAATAAGAAAAAAAGTGTTCTCTTCTTAACTGCAAAGATATGGAGTCCAAGCTTCTTATCAGGTTGATAATGATCAGGTTCAGGTTCAAGATGCCAACAGAACTTCTGTGGGGTAGCACTCATGCTTATTCCTCCTTTTCTTCTTGCAGTTTGTCATAAAGGACTGAACTGACGTGTCTTTATGGTTCGGGAAAAATGAACCATTTAAGTAACATGAATCTCCTGTACCACCAAGATGGCAAAATGAGCTTAGTGAGATGGGAGTGACAGAGACTTTTTAAACACTCTAAACCCTTTTGCTGGCCCAGGATATGGTGGTGGTGGCGAGATGCTGTGTTTTCTGGTCAGTGCCACGGCCTGTTCATAAGAAGGTAACCCTGTGTCCTCCACTGCGGGTGGTGATGGAGACAAGACAGCCTCCTCAGGTCTTCTGAAAATGATGGAGGGAGTGTGCCTTCCTCTTCTTACGTAGGTGGCTGAAGAACTAAACAGAGACACAGCATTTATGTCTAGAAAAGGCAGCAGTTTTGGTTTAAGATGGCAACATTTGAAAATCCAACTGATTAATTTTATAAAAATTGAACCTAATTCTAATATATAAAGAGCCAGCGTCCGTAATGTCCAAAATGACCGAACGGCAGACCCAACGCCAGGCTGAGCATGCAGGAGGCTCGAGTGGGTGGGACTGGTGAGCAGGCTGAACTGCTGACCTCTCGGTCCCTCCTGGGTTGCTGGTGCCACAATGACCCAGCACTGACTGCTGCTGCGGTGGGCATTGTGGCAATCTAGCACTGATTGCCACCGCCAAGGCGGGTGCAATGCAATTGGTAGGGGGAGGGAGGGCCTGGCATTGCCCCATGATTACCCTGCAGATGGAGGCCCAGGCCACCGGCTGGGGGCTCCATGATTGCCCTAAAGAGGGAGGCTCACACTACTCAGCCAGCAGTGGTGGGTGGGGCCTCCCTCTGAGGGGCGATCAATCACAGGGCTCCCAGACTGCGAGAGGGCGCAGACCAGACTGAAGGACCCCCCTATCCTGAGTGCATGAATTTCGTGTACTGGGCCTCTACTTTATTAATATAACAACAGGTTTCTAACAACAGAAAGAGTCTTTCTTGGTCTAATGGAAAGATCAAAAGCTTTAAAGTCAGACATGGGGATGAAGCTGGATCCTGTCATTTCTTAGTCATGTGACCAAAGGCAAGTTAACCTAACTCGGTCTCCTCCTCTGTAAAGGGGGAATAATAAAAGCTACCTCTACATAAGGACTCAGAATGTGCTAATTTCCTGGATGAAAACTTTCTCAAAGTATGTGTGAAACCAAACCCAGGTTTTGAAGGGCAGCTCAACGCCAAGTCAAGGAACCCAATGCCACCATAATCACAACAGCTGATGTCTGTCTCTCTCCTTGTCCCCCTCCCACACTCCTGCTGCCTGATGGGTAAGATCCCTTCTAAGCACTTCTTTTATCACATCACTTTTCTCTGTAAAAGGTCTAACCTCAGCGTTCTTTCTTTCTTTTTTCTTTTTTAATATGTTTTTTTAAATATATATTTTATTGATTTTTTTACAGAGAGGAAGGAGAGAGGGATAGAGAGTTAGAAACATCGATGAGAGAGAGACATCGATCAGCTGCCTCTTGCACATCCCCTATTGGGGATGTGCCCCTCAACCAAGGTACATGCCCTTCACCGGAATTGAACCTTTCAGTCTGCAGACCGACGCTCTATCCACTGAGCTAAACCAGTTTCGGCTTTAATATGTTTTTATTGATTTTTTACAGAGAGGAAGGGAGAGAGATAGAGAGTTAGAAAAATCGATGAGATAGAAACATCAATCAACTGCCTCCTGCACACCCCCATTGGGGATGTGCCCGCAACCAAGGCATATGCCCTTGATCAGAATCGATCCCGGGACCCCTCAGCCCACAGGCCGATGCTCAATCCACTGAACCAAACCAGCTTCAGCCTGTAGCATTCTTTCCATTGAATGGAGTTCTAACATAAGTGCCTCCTTTTCAAAGCCTCCCTATTCTGGCCTCGCCCTGTTTTTTTATAGTTCTCTGCGCTTGCCAAGGTAGTCTCTTTAACACTCCTCAGTATGAGCAATGAATTCTGTCCCATCTCTGTGCTTTCACTGGTATGGTTTCCTTCCTCAGATTATGTCTTTTTCCCACTCCACTGATCTAAGCTCAACAATTGAAATATATATATATATATATGGCCTAGTTCTAGTCCTACCATTTTCACAAAACTTTGTCAGCTACACCAGCCAATGAAAGCTGAAATGCAATATGGGTCTGATGTTTTGAACCTACCTTTTCCCTCCTCACTTGTAAATTACAAAATGGTAATTTAAACATTAGTAAATGGATCTATGCATAAATTAACCTCCTACAGTTATAGCTAACAAGATGATTAAAATTCATAGGTAATCCCCAACCTCTAGTCAATATTTACAATATCCTTCTCAACGAGATAGTTTAGCAGACTCAAAACTGTAAACTTTTCCAATCAAGTAAGTCAATTTGCACCTTAAAACACCCTTTCCTTCAGAGCTAAGAATTAGATCTGAAATTGGAGGGAAGGAGAGAAGAAAAAGATCTGTGTAAATCTAGGAACTGGATAATCAGCCCTTCAATAATTGAGAGGTGACTGATATCATTACACGTTTACTTAGAGGGCTAGACACAATTCCTCCTCTGACAGAAATCTGGAATTTTTTCACGGTAGGCTAGTCACTTGCCACATTCACTAGCTTGTAACAAAAATTCCTATCTGTTTGCTTAGAGGGAACAGATGTTTTATTTGAACAAATAAATTTTTCCATGTCAACTTTCAGAACTTGAGATATAGAAACAATATAGTAACTGCATCAAAGCCACTAAATATCTATATAGCTATTTCTTACATACATCTTAGATGAGTGAAATCAGAAAGTATGCACCAATAACATCTCAAATAAATGGACATCATATTACACCTATTTTACTCCATAAAATAAGAAACTAAGAAATGAAAAGATCTTGTTTCCAATTTCTTGGCATGTTTTTACAGAGGAATGAGACAAACGTTTATGACAAGGATCTTATTTTTCACTCCTTTCTCTTTTCAAATATTTCCTCACCCTTCCCCCATTTCAGACTTGCAAAATATAGAAAGAAAACAAATAACTCTGCTGGAAGAATTTCTTGGGACAACAGATGAAATGTACTTTAGTAAGTGTTTGAAAGTTAATACCAACAAAAGAGAATACTTTGTAAATCTAAAATTTAGTCCCCTAAAATGCAGAGGGTCACTGTGAGGGTTAAAGTGAGACAACAGATGTAAAAGTGATCTGTGAACTGTACAGCACTATACTGAACTAACAAAGTGTAACCATTTTTTTTTTTTAAAGCTGACATTTATGAGCCTTCTTGTATTCTTTTGAAGGACCAGGGTTTTTAATTTTTAATTTTAATACTTAGAAATACTTTGTTATATAAGGAAAATTAATAGACGTCATACAGCATAAAAGATAGTGACTTAAGAAAAATTAAACCAGCCGAAACTGGTTTGGCTCAGTGGATAGAGCATCGGCCTGCGGACTGAAAGGACCCAGGTTCGATTCCAGTCAAGGGCATGTACCGTGGTTGTGGGCACATCCCCAGTAGGGGGTGTGCAGGAGGCAGCTGATCGATGATTCTCTCTCATCGATGTTTCTAGCTCTCTATCCCTCTCTCTTCCTTTCTGTAAAAAATCAATAAAATATATATTTTTTTAAAAAAGAAAAGAAAAATTAAACCAATTCTCCTTACATTCTCTCACTGCAGGATTTACAGAAGTCTGTCTGACACTCCTGCCCACAGGTCACATAAATGCCCAGGGAGCTTTTTGGGGAATCCAGTTTGGGGACAGCATTACAATTTATTTATTTTTATTATTATTATTTTAAAATATATTTTATTTATTTTTTACAGAGAGGAAGGGACAGAGATAGAGAGTTAGAAACATCGATGAGAGAGTCATCGACCAGCTGCCTCTTGCACACCCCCTACTGGGGATATGCCCGCAACCAACGTACGTGCCCTTGACCGGAATCGAACCTGGGACCTTTCAGTCCGCAGACCTACGCTCTATCCACTGAGCCAAACCGGTTTCGGCAGCATTACAATTTATGTCGCCCCTGTCCTCTTCCCTCTTTGCTGGCATGTCTCCTGTCTGCACCCTTTCTGTGGGCATCCTTACAGGCCCAGTCCTTTGCCTTCTGTTCTTTCATCTCACTCAGAAATAGCCTATTCTCATGGCTTCAGCTTTTATCTTCTAACAGATGAATCCTAATTCTGCTTCTGTTGTCCTAAACTCTGACTTTAACAATAATGGGAAAAATTTTATTGTGATAAAATACATATAACTTAAAATTTGCTATATTAGCCATTTTTATGTATACAATTCAGCAGTATTAATTATATTCACAATGTTCTGTAATCATCACTATTATCTAATATTCATAACCTTTTCATCACCTGGTCAACATCATGCGTTCGTTCACTTCATTTGAAAGTGTAAATAGGGATATATAAGCACCAATTTTGAATATTTTGTTTAGTATCTGGTGCTTTTTAAATTAACATTCTATGCTTACTCATCTATATTTACTGAGAAGATAATATAGAAGCTAGTAACTTTTTATTCCTATAAGTACGTTGAGGTTCTATTATGTAAAAAGCAGTACTTGTTTAGTACTGCTTTTATGAATATTCATGAAACTTTATTATCTTCAAGTGGTAACCATTTTATTTTATTAATTTGTATTTGATTTAAAGTATCAGTAAAAATAATTGAATTTAAAACCTAGTTATTCTTTTTCTAGTTGGGTAGCCACATATCACTGTGACTCATAGTAAACTATGGGACTTCTTGCCTCCAGAAAGAATGTGGAGACACTGGTATCTGCCTCCTGCTCAAGAAGGAAACACTGCCCGGCATGCAGCGTGGTTCAGTGGTTGAACACCGACCTATGGAGGTCAGGGTTCGATTCCGGGTCAGGGCACATGCTCAAGTTGCGGGCTCGATCCCCAGTGTGGGGCATGCTGGAGGCAATCGATCAATAATTCTCTCTTTTTAAAAAAAAAATTTATTGATTTTTTTACAGAGAGGAAGGAGAGAGAGATAGAGAGCTAGAAACAACAATGAGAGAGAAACATAGATCAGCTGCCTCTTGCACACCCCCTACAGGGATAATTCTCTCTATCATTGATGTTTCTATCCCTATCTTCCTCTCTAAAATCAAGTAAACATTTTTATTTATTTTTTACAAAGGAAACATTGAAACTTTAAGCTGACATTTGTGAATCTTCTTGTATTCTTTTGAAGGACCTTAGACACAGCATTTTAAAGTTTTTTATTTGTGTTAAATTAGGCAACCAAACAATCATATACTAGAAACTGAGGACACAGTTTGTACTATCTTGATTGGCTCCTAGAGCAAAAAGAGGACAATAATGGGAAATTTGGTGAAATCTAAATAAGGTCTAGAATTTAGTTAATATTAATGTACCAATGTTGTTTTTTTAAACTTTTATTTATTTATATTTTGTTAGTGTTCACCCAATGATATTTTTCCATTGATCTTTTAGAGAAGGAAAAACAGAGAAAACATCAATTAGTTCCCTCCTTCATGTGCCCCCAACCTGGGCCCACGCCCAGAAGGAACTTGCATTCTGCATCCGAAGTACATGCCCTTGACCAGAATCAAACCAGGGACCCTTTGGTCTGCAGGCCGATGCTCTATCCACTGAGCCAATCCGGCCAGGGCCCAATGTTGTTTTATTAGTTTTATAAATATACTATGATAACATAAGCCGTTAACTATGAGGGAAACTGGGTGAAAGATATATGGTACTTCTTTGAACTACCTTTGTCACTCTCCTGTATATCTAAAATTATTCCAAAATAAAAAGTTTATTTAAAAAACAGGCAGCCATTTTAAATCTACTTAAAAATAACAGTACAGAATGTGTAACATTGAATTAAATACTTTCACTTGGTACTTACCCTGGATGTCCTTGCTGGTTACACTTAGTGATACAAAGATAGTAACCAAGTAATCCAAAAATAACCAAAAATACTCCAGCGGCAATTAGTCCAGTCAGAAGGCCCAAAACGTCTATTTTCTCTCTGTTATCACCTTAAGAAAAATCATTAAAATAACATAAATGTAACACCTGAAAAGCCCTATTTGTGATTTCAGTAAATTTAACCCTCAGTTTAAGCACAGTATTAAGCATCAAATAATTAATTTTTAAAAAATCTTTGTGCTATACATATGATCTAAAGAATTTTAAACAACACTTCCTGAAAGTCCTAGTTATGGTTTTGTTTATTTATTTGTTTATTTATTTATTTATTTTAAATATGTTTTATTGATTTTTCACAGAGAGGAAAGGAGAGGGATAGAGAGCTAGGAACATCGATGAGAGAGATACATCGACCAGTTGCCTCCTGCACACCCCCCACCAGGGATATGCCCTTGACCGGAATCGAACCTGGGGCCTTTTAGTCCGCAGACCGACGCTCTATCCAGAGCCAAACCGGTTTTGGCTGATTTTGTTTATTTTAAATAGGTCATATTACATGTATAATAGTCAAGACTAAGCGGGATAAACATAAACTTTGTTCCACTAGGCGCACATTGATATTAACTATAAGATAAATGTATTGAGCAACTCTAGTTAGCTGTGTAATATAGTCTCCCTATAAGCTTGGGCCCTACGCAAGAGGAATGAAAGACTAGCTGGCAAAAAACCTACCTGACTAAAAGCCAACTAGAGATGATCAATATACTAGTAGGTAAAAGACAGGATCATCCCTCTCTAGAAATTACTTCATTTTACCTAATCAACTTAACTTACCTAGCAACATATGACTTCCATTCACTTGTAATGGTAAAAATAAAAAGACAAAACAATTAAAACAGTTTAACTATTTTAAAGCAATGGAGTACAACTTTTACTCTCTGCAAGTCTTGACTTAGCTGAGCTGTTTAAAGCAGCTTTAAGCCTATTATCTCATTTCCCGAGTATCTCACCAAACTTGATTTTCATTGTATAACTAGTTGAATGGGGCCTTTCTATCTTAGATAGACCAGTGTATAATTGAGAAATTTCCCTTGAATTTACAAGGTAAGTGTGTTGAGCAACAACCAAACTCAAATAATGAAACTAAATGTATTATAGAAGGAAGGGTGTGGGAAAAACATTATTTAATCAATTCTTGTCTTACCTGATTTTGCGTTTGGTCCTTTAATGGAATAGTCCTGCCAAAATGCCAGCTAAGAGAAAGATAAGTTTTCCAAGTCAATTTCATTTATTTCTTTTTCTTTTTTTTATTTTTATTAAATTATCATCTCTGTACATATGTCAGTTTCATTTCATTGTCATTTTGTTCCGTCCCCAATGACCTACTGAGAGCGGGAACTTTTTGGCATGTACCACAGGTAGGATACCAGTTCATTCAAGCTAGAGGGTGTGATTCACTCTAATTAAAGCACTACCACGCACTACCGTTTCTCCCAGCTCTGGAATGGTCAGGGCATTATTGCCAGTGCCACCTCGCCACCTATTCCCTGCTATTCGCCCTTCACCTGCCCAGGCGCCCACTCAGGCATCAGAGAAACTACTGCATTGCAGAGTCAGTGAAAGTACCAAAGGTAGAAGCTGAGGCAGGAGACTCATTTTTGAAAAGGAGTCTGAATTTTTCGACGCTAAGTGAGACCTCAGTTTGCTAGATTTTTTATTGCAAGGTATTTCAAGATTGAGAAAGACATCCCCAAGGCTGTTTAAGTTCAGTGTTATTTGAGAGAATGGGAGCGGTTTTAAGGAACCATGATAAAATTACAAGATGGGCTTGTGAAAGACAGAATAAAACCTCACCAGGCACCCTTATAAGGTGTAAACTCGGTTTTCCTGGTCTAATACAGGCGGCAGATTATTAGCCCGGAGGCTGGGCACAGTTTTGGGGGAAAAAGAACTACATTCCATTAAAACCTGCACTTGAAGGATACCAAGTGAGGTTCTTATTGACCAAAGAGTAAAATGGAACTTTTGAGGAAGGGAAAAAGGAGCTGGGGTTATTTAATCTACAAAAGTAAAGAATTTAGGTCATTAACATTCTTCAGGAATATGCCAGGTTATAACAAGGCCGGCGCTGTCTCTGTTTTGGGCCTTCACGAGATGAACAGACAGGACTTAGCTATTATATATTCTAAGGGAGAACGTCTAAAAGTTTCGCCCTTAAATTTACAGTTATGCCAAACAACAAACTCCTGGGTGCGGGACTATCTATATTTGTACCTTCAGGCTCCAGCAGAGCACTCGGCACACAGGAGGTTGCCAGTACTTGAAGTATAAATACAGTCACCCAGGAGGTTAGGCCACTGTCAGAAAACCCTGCTCAGAGCCTTGGTTCAAGCCTGTGCCGGAGAACTCACTGGAATTATATCCTGACGCTTCATTCATTCTGCTTCATGATTGTTTTTGAAGATAGCAAACATTCAACACACAAAAGGACAGCAGAATCGATCGTTTGCTGATTACTTTAAGCCCAGCTAATGAAGCATAAAGCCAAGTCTGAAGCAAAAGCTAACTCGCTTTTTTAAGAAAGTCGAAAAGAGGTAACAGATACAGAATCCTAATTGTATTTAAAGCATTAAATCTCTAATGACTGCAAGGGCCATTTTCTTAAGTACGATTTAATAAGTTCCCAGACAATGACCATCATTAACCGAATTACCGTTTTATCTTCATCCACAAAAATCTCTCTGGCTTCTTCATAATTGCAGAGTTCTTCAACGCACTCCCTTTCTAGGTCACCTGGCGTGAGGAGCTCCAAATCAAACCTGTTATAGAGCAGGTGTCTGTGTATGAAAGAGCTGGCTTCTTGTTTGGATGTAAATACTAAGAAAGAAACAGAAAGATTTCAAATACTGATAACAATAAGAAAGAAAATTCCTATTTAAATGATGAAAAGAGTGAATCGTTCTCGATGTAGCTAAATTACACCAAACTTTCTTGTGTGGTCTTCAAAGCTGCCAAAAGGAAATATCAGTAAAAATAATTCTATCAGCTGAAGCAATTGGTAGATATAGTCTGGTGTTAATCAGCTTGACATGGGTTTAAAATACTACACCAGCAATGCAGTACCTCAAAGCCTGCCTAACTTAGCTATAGCTACATGAAATCTAGTTTCAGGAAGGAGAATCGGAAATCTGGTTCTGTATTGCTATTTCTCAGATTTGCCCAGATCTTCTCATTTTATTGACTAAAGAGCGGTGCCAAATTTCTCATTGTCGGTCTTCTGTTCGAATAGGCTGAGTTATAAAAATATCCCTACCTTCCGAATGGCGCTTAGCACTCAACTTGAGAGAAATACAAGAGAGGCAAAATTGTGTTTTATTGTTCCTGAAGTGATATTGATGCCAGTACAAATCCTCACCCAGAGGCTGTTTGCCACTTCCCTGAGTGTTCCAATTCGGTCAGTGCCTTATCAACTTTTCCCTGCCTCCCTTATAGTCTTAGGAGCAATGCTGCCTTTTATTGTTTGGATTCCAAGTAACCCTGAAAGTGCTTACACTTGAAAGAAGCAAACTTCCTTGCTCTGGATCATCCTGAACTTCCATGAGAGATTCTACGTTCCCCTGGCCTTTGCACTTTGGATCTGCCTCCTCAGATCCTCTAGCCATCTCCATTTCTCCTGCCTTCGACCGTTCTAGCAGGCTTTCACCATTTCAGACGCACCAATCTCTTCCTCTTTCCTGTCTCCCCATGTTTTCTAAGTGAATTCCTTTTAGGTCACTGGCCTTTATCAGAAGTTAGCTGTAGGTTTCCTCAGTTACTTTTCATATTCCCATTTATTATGTATCTTTTCATGTATCTTATTTGCTAGAGAGCTTCTGTGCCACACAACTCTCCTAAGACAGAGTTAGCTACCCACTTTCCTCTACTCTGCAGGTCTCTGTACTACCTCTGAGTTCATGGAGACTTCCTGTTTCCACCTGCCTCCCAGATCAATGAAGAGGCCCTCCAGGGCAAAGATGACAGTCTTTCATTTCTACATCTCCAGTACCTAGCATAAAGCCTGGCACAGAGTATGTTAACAGAGTGGCTGATAACTGAACAAGTTGGCTTTTTAAACATAGAGGATTCCTCTTTTCCATTTCCCACAGATATCGCCAGCCTTTTGCATTCAAGTATGATCTCTAAATTCCTTCCAGAGTTTGTGATATTTTTGAGAGTGTCTTCTTGACTGTTATTGTGTGCACAGATGAATACATTCACAAGGCTTCTGGAGATCAGCATCTGGTCCCACTGAGAAGGGATCATCAACCTCATACATGAATGAACTTGCCAGTACATATATGCTACAACTTGGGAGATATCAAGAAGGATCTCTTTCCAAAATCTGTCTTTTTACCACGAGCTAGCCTATCCAATTGCCTAGAATTCTGTCATCAGGGTTCTCTCTCTCTCCCGCCCTCAGACGGTTTAACACACTAAGCTGTATTAATCATTAATAAGTCATCCAGGAGTATTAGTGTAACAGATCCTTCCCAAATGAAAATGAGCTGAGAGTAGGATCTGATGAGAAGGGAGAAGGGACAGGAATGTGTGGGCAAGCAGATCCAAAGTACTAGCGCTGGGTAGGGAAGCACAATGACAAGGCAGGGGGAAGGATGCTGAGAGCCAAAGCATTTCCTCCTCTTTTCTGTTTTTGTTGTTGTTTTTCTATGTTAGGCTCTTAAGACATGGGCAGGAACCAGTCTATTTATGACCAGGCACACACAAGGTGTGAAAATATGGGTTAGGAAACACCAAACCTAATCTCATAACCATTCAATTATATCCAGAGATTTGACAATCAGAAAGGACCTCAGAGATCATTTCACTTCTCATTCCCATGACTTCACAGATGAAGAAATTCAAGCCAAAGGGCATCAAGTTACTTGCCTCTGGTCTCAACAAATCCAGACCAGCTCTTGAACTCTCTGTCTTTCCAGGAAGAACAACTCATTATGCCTCATTATGCTCATTATAATTACCACATAGCCTCACATAATAAAAAGAAAAACGGCACGCACTGATTTTAGAAGTTGAAATAGGTACTCCATTCAGGTTAACCACAAACCAGTTCTTAAATGTGCGTGTGCCTGTGCGTGTGCGTGCGCGTGCGTGCGTGTGTGTGTGTGTGTGTGTGTGTGTGTGTGCATAATCAAAAGTAACTCAAAATCAGCCGAAACCGTTTGGCTCAATGGATAGAGCGTCGGCTTGGGGACTGAAGGGTCCCGGGTTCCATTCCGGTCAAGGGCATGTACCTTGGTTGTGGGCATATCCCCAGTAGGGGTTGTGCAGGAGGCAGCTGATCGATGACTCTATGTCATCGATGTTTCTGACTATCTCTCTCCCTTCCTCTCTGTACAAAATCAATAAAATATATATTTTTAAAAAAAGTAACTCAAAATCAGTTTGTATACATTGCACTTAACAAACCACCACATTACCAAATACGCCAGAAATTAAACTAAAGAATATTTTAGCGCTCCAATGATCGACGAGGGCATGTCATTTCAAATACTACGCTTTCCACTTTGCGATCTAAAACAGGCGGCTTGGGGCTCCCAGAGGGTTTTCTGGGAAACCGAAGGCATGCTCACCTTCCTCCCCCGCGTGTCCAGGCTCCTCGGGACCTCTGGTGCAAAGAGGAATCGCGATGGCAGCCGCGGGCAGCTGGCTGAGTAGGATCAGAAGCGTAAACATAGTCCAGCAACGGCCCAACACACTGAAACAGAAACGAACAGAAACACACGTCGGAAAAGCCCCTGGCTCAGCACTTTGGGTTTCGGTAGGTCCTGAGTCACGGACCTGTGGCGCTCAGAGCCCCGGACCATTGTTGCCCCGCGCGCGGTTTCGGTCTCCCGGGTCCAACCCGCGCCCTAAAAGCGGCCGCGAAAGTGCGCGGGGCCAAGCGCCGCGCCCCGAGCCCGGCCGCCGCCCGCAAAGGCACCTGCCGTGGCCACGGGCGACCCTGCGCCGCGAGTGGCAATCGGACCCGATCTGCGGAGCGGCCGCCCCGAGCAGCCTACCCCCCGCCCGGGCCAGCGCACCTGCGGCTCCGGGAGCATGTTCCCGCCGCTCCCGGGCCGGAGCCCCGCCGTAGGGCAGTGTCTGCGGCCGCCAGACCCCCCGTCTCTGCGCGCGCCCCCCGAATCTTGGCCGCGCTCTCCGCAGGACGAGGTGGCCCCAGCGCTGGGGCCGAGGAAGCGCCTGGGGTCCGCGAAGAAGCGCCCAGATCGGCAGGGGGACGAGCGCGACGGGACTTCCGCTGGGTCCCGGGAGGCGCGGCGCCGTCTGCGGGAGGAGGCGGCGGCTCCCGGGAGCACCTGGCGGCCGCTCCTCCCCGGGGCCGGCCTGCCCGCCGCGCGGCCCATTGGCGGGCGTCGCCCCGAGCTGGCGCTGCGCTTTCGGAGTCGTGAACCTGCTGTCCTGAGCCCTCGGCGAGCCCGGCCTCCGGCCTCCGGTTCGGGTCCCGCCTGAGCGTGTGGGTGGCTGGTTTATCTCGGTTTGAGACCCGGCTTTTCCTGGGTCAGGGGAATGGGGGGTGTATTTTCAGTTCTCAGTGATCAGCGGAGCGTCCTCCGGGCGTCCGGAGGTTTTCGGGTTTGGGTTCCACCAGGATGGGGCGGGGTCTTGTGGTTACCTCGATTCAACATTCCTAAAAGGGTGATCTGGGAACAAGAACAATAATGTGCACCAGAGAAAATTCACTTTATTAATAATATGAAATGGGCCCAAACCGGTTTGGCTCAGTGGGTAGAGCATCTGGCTGCGGACTGAAGTGTGTCCCAGGTTCAATTCAGGTCAAGGGAATGTGCCTTGGTTGCAGGCACGTCCCAGGTGGTGGGTGTGCAAGAGGCAGCTGATGGATGTTTCTCTCTCATCGATGTTTCTAGCTCTCTATCCCTCTCCCTTCCTCTCTGTAAAAAAAAAATCAATAAAATATATTTTTAAAAATAATATGAAATGGGAAGTGGCATTGAAATTATTTGATGGCATTGGTTCTCCAGCTCGCCAGATCTGGGACATCTCCAAGATCTTTTTAAGGACTCTCCGAGATCAAAACTATTTCCATGAGGATAATAAGGCAATTGGCCTTTTTCATTTTCTTAATTTATAAAATTAAACTTAATTTTATTTTGCAAAAAATCCACAAATACATATGCAGATCTGATTTATCTTCAAGCCACGTGTTCATTTTGTTTTTGTTTTTACAGACATGCCCATTTATTTGTCATGCCAAACTTCAAGTTTTATCAACATTAGTATTCATTGAGAGGAAAGAAAAACTGCATTGCTTGATCTTTGGTAATTAGCAGTATAATTAAAAACTTATAATTGTTTTTAAGATAAACACTTAGTAGGAAATTTAATATATCTTGTTTTTGCTCTTCAAAGGAGCCACTATACCGAAGCATTTACCTGGATCTATCAAGTTCCTGCTGGTAGAATATTACTTCCCACCTATTTATTAGCTTTTCTTCCTGTGGTTCCATATATGCTCCCCTCTCTCCACTGAGAGAAAGTACAGAAAAAAAGCAATTTATTTCTTCTTCCCTCCCCACTCATGCAGGGGAAGCCAACATCACAAGTCACAACATCTAAATTTACTTTGATTATATTTTACTTCTTATACTTAAAACTAGAGGGCCCGGTACATGAAATTCGTGCACAGGGGATGTGTGTGTCCCTTAGTCCAGTCTGCATCCTCTCCAATCTGGAACCCCTCGAGGGATGTTTGACTGCCCGTTTAGGCCTGATCCCATCCCTCTTGCAATCCAGGACTGCTGGCTCCCAATTGCTCATCTGCCTGCCTGCTTGATTGCCCCTAACTGCTTCTGCCTGCCATCCTAATCAACACCTAACTGCTCCCCTGCTGGCCCGATTGTCGCTAACTGTCCTCCCCTGCTGACCCGGTCACCCCTGACTGCCCTCCCTTGCCAGCCTGGTCGCCCCTAACTGCCTTTCCCTGCTGGCCATCTGTGGCGGCCATCTTGTGTCTACATGGGGTAGCCATCTTTGACCACATCTGGGCAGCCATCTTGTGTTGGAGTGACGGTCAACTTGTATATTACCTATTTATTATATAGGATTATTTTGTATTATAATACTGAGTTATCTAAAACCAACATTGATGGTATTAAATTGTTATAAAACCAGAGTTTTAGAGGCATTTGAAACAATTCAGGATCCATGTCTGAAAGGAGATAATTGCCTCAAAGTAAAAGAATTTTAGGTGTCAGTAGTTGAATAAGAAACAAAACTTTAGGGGGCCCATATTTTTTATTCACATATTTACATTATTAACAATGATATGATACTTTGACAGCCTACAAAAAATTTAAAAATATATTCTTTAGTATAGAATAGGGATCAAGGGAGTATTTTATTGTATTTCATTTTTAAATATTTTTTATTGATTTTAGTAAGAGAGGAAAGGAAAGGGAGAGAGAGAGAAAACCATTAATGTGAGAGAGAAACATCCATAGGCTGTCTCCTGCACAATCCCTACTGGGGATCAAGCCTGCAACCTGGGCATCTGCCCTGACCTGGAATTGAACCAGCAAACTTTGTGCATGGAATAATACTCGACCAATTGAGCCACACTGGTCAAAACAAGGGAGCACTTTATTTTATTATTTTTAAAAAATATTTTTTATTGTTTTTTTTTTTTTTTTGCATAGAGGAAGAGAGAGAGATAGAAACATCGATCAGCTGCCTCCTGCACACCCCCCACTGGGGTTGTGCCCACAACCAAGGTATATGCCCTTGACCAGAATCAAACCTGGGACCCTTCAGTCCACAGTCTGACACTCTACCCACTGAGCCAAACCGGTTTTGGCAGGGAGCATTTTAAACATGGTTTTGGTAAGTCTCTTATAATCCTACTTTCCAGAAAAAGTTTATATGCAATTTCCTGATTTAAAAAAAAATCTAAAGTCATAGATTTAAGTTAAGAAAATATGGCATGTGAGGTTAAGATCATTGTATTATCTACGAGCTGATACACAATGTAAGATGTATAAAAGAACCTAAACAGACATCTATCTCAAATTTCAGGCAGGATATAAGAGTGCATAGAGATGTGAGAGCTTTTTAGATCAGATAGTGAAAAAAGACACAGTATTTACCTCAAACAATTAGTTGTAAGCAATAAATACGTAAACAATGCCAATTCATAGATTGTAAACAAAACCAATTAAGAAGTGTATTGTGATAGCCACACATTTTGGAGAAATATTTCCAAGCCAGGCAGATGTGGACTGAGATAAAAACAGGCAATATAGACCATCATAACAAAGATGGTTAGTAAGATGGTATTGAACTCGGATTGCTCCCTTCTATTCTTTGGTTAAATCAATTTACACTAAATTTTCTCTTTTTTTTCTCTCCACAAAGGCTACTATTATCTATTTTACCTTAATTTTTTAGAATCAACTGTATTCTTCTTTAATCTTCTCCAGAAAATTTGTTTTCACTGATTCCTTTAGACCAGGTATGGGGAACATCCGGCTTGCCGTCTGGCTCTGCCAAGGCATTAGGGGTAAGTTTAATTAAATATTTGACCAAATTTGGCAGGCTCATTTTTAAACTGATAATTTTATATGGCTCATGAATGATGTTAAAAATATCCAAATGGCCCTTGGCAGAAAAATCGTTCCCCATCCCTGCTTTACAAGTTCCTATCATAGATCCTTCTTCTTTCACTCTTCAATTCTTTTATTGTCCTTAAGCAAATGGGATCAGACTAAAGAGGCTAGAAATGATTTCTTGTTGGTTGACATCCTATAACAAAAAAGGTCTTCATTAGGAATTTTTTACTAGAGTTCATATTTACTTCTTCCATTCTATTAATTCACTCGTTTGCCAAATCAAAACACTAACACCTAAGAATGGAGAGATAATTACTGTCCTTATTTTTTAGAAGAATGTAATCTAATATCTGTAAGAATGTGGGCCTATAAAGTTCTTATCAAGAGCAAGAACTAACTTATTCAGCTTTATATTCTACACAGTACTCAGCAGAGTGCTTTTTATGTTGTTTGTGCTCAATATGTTTTTTTGGTGGAAACCATTTATTTTCAGGTGGGAAAAGTACTTCACACTATTTTGGGAGTGACAAATGGTCAGATGCCTCAGGCTGGGGAATCAGCAGATATGAACTTTCATGACATTCCTTGGTAGAAGGCATCCACCCACATATCTGGATACTTGGACCAAAATAAATGAGGCTTTGTGTTCACGTGAAATATCAGAGTTTGTAGTCTGAGGGGGAAGCAGATATAGAAATGAATCTGTTTCTCAGTAGTGAAGTACATCTCTGAATGTTTCCCTGTAATATTGGATCCCACAGAATACTATGGCATTTGGCAATATGCACATAAACTTCAGCCACTACGAACTGCACCTGGATATCACTGAGAGTAGATAGCAAAGAGAAGAGCATAGTCAGAAGCAACATTGTTGAAGATGGTTGATTTCTTCTATTTACCTGCAGTATTTACTTTCTTATTTTGTACCATTTGCTTATTAAAGTCACAATATTCTTATGCCTTTCTTCCAAAGCATTTTAAGTGCTCAGATGGTCATTGGCCAAATAGGAGCCTGGCTCTTGACTCTTTTCAGTACTTTTTTTTTTTTTTTTTTTTTTTTTAGTTATTACCAAGCAATGGAGGGCACTAGGTAAAGAATTATTTAATTTA